TATACATTTTTTCCTTCCAAGGATACATCAATGGAATGCCGAAATCCAAAAAGTTCTTTGTGTATAGTCCGATCAAACCCTGGTGGTAGCCATGTTTGTTTTTATTATTAGAGGACACTTATGCGCGTAATTATTCCATATTTGGAATTCGCATTTCCTAATATGGTAGGATGAAAATACCCTGTCAAATACCGCAAAATTACGGCATGCTGTAATTTATGACGCTACGGTGACAGATAATAATAGATGTTATCTTACACATTCTATACTTACTCGTTGTACACGTTCATTGATTGTAAATGCTACTGAACTCTTGGGTTCTGCCACTTGATCATTACACGGTATATACATAGAGAATCGGGGCAACTGCCGTGTTAACTCAAACACATGATATTGACTACTGTAATAAGATGTAATAAGATGAAATCAATGGAAATTAAAAAGCTGACATGTTGCAGATAAATATTATCTACTAGTGATAGAATGATGAATGATGCACATGCATTGCCCCAATTTTGTTTCTCATACAACATTTACTGCACCTAGTCAGACTGTCCTGGATTCGTCAGACCTAACATAGACATGGCACAATGTTACATTGTTCATGTCATGCATTAATCTTACCTTGATTTGTATCCTACAAATGCTTTTATATGTAAATCCACTTGGACATCTTTTGGTGGAGTGATGGGCACCTTGAGACAGTTAGTTAAGTTATTGATATTTGGATGACTGGAAATATGAACATATAGACATAAGGATTGTAAGATAAAACTTGCTATAAACTTTGGATATGCAAACAAACATATGACATGCACATGTGTAAATCTTCAATACACCATATTTGAGTTGCAATAAAAATATAAGATTTTAGTAGTTTTATCGTTGGTGGCGCTGTTGTGGGGATAAAAGTGAGAGTTGATTCTTCCAAAAGCTACACTCGTAAATAGAAGAGTCTTATACATCTCCTGAATGGCTGTCTTTAAATCTAACTGACTTTCAATTCACATAACAAACAACATAGTTGAACTCTGGTGACCTTGCCCTTTGTTAATATAATTCCCTTTATCACAGTTTGTTTCAATATAAATATGCATTGTCATAATTATTTTGAATACAAACAAGTTTTGGGGTTGAACCAACAGTGGGGAATCAGTCTACCGAATGTCCTTAAAAGATGTAAATATCTTACAAAAACATTGGTGCCTTATTTGTTTAATTATTTTAAGGGACATAATTTCCAGTTGTTTCCAGTTTTATTCAAAGTAATTCAGATATTTTAGTATAAAAATAAATGCCTCATCGCAAAAAAAAAGTTCTGCATTTAGACGTGAATAGATTCATAAAACATGCAAGATAACAGAAAATCTTAGCTGGCTTTTGTCCAAATATTTTGTACAGGTGTCTGTCAAAAATTAATGATTCACTGAGACAAATACGAACTGCCTCATTGTGTGACTACTGTATTATATGAAAAGTAAAAAAAACACCCTTTATGAATAGCTATCATGTTGCAAGCTCTGCTTT